CCTCTGCGTTCCAATATATCTTTAAGGGTAGCACGCCTTAATTCCTCATACTGCATTTCCAACCTGGGATGTGTAGCTGGCCTTCTGGGCTGTAGGATTCATCCCGTCGCTTGCCACCAATTGTTACGACACGTACCGTCGGGTAGATGAAGCCGCCGTTTAGGCAATAATCCCCTCCTCCAGAAATGCAGGTTTAAATCCAGCCGATCGCCAAACTCCCGAACGAAGTCCGCGAACACGGCAACTCCCGATCAGCCAAACAGTCGAACGCCTTCCACAGCTAGAAATAACGAAACCGCTGTCCCAATAATAATTCCCCCCACAAACGAGACCAAGCTCCGTCTTGAGGGTCAAATGAAGATCTGTTTAATGGGGGCTACCTGCCCGGTATTTATGCAGGTCTCCACAAGGTGGACACTCCCCGAGGGGACCTTGTGGAAGACTGTAACACATATTGTACAGTAGCCAATCGCAGTGGCTTCAATAGTAGCCCTTCCCATCTTGCCCATAATTCCGTCTTCTTTACCTTGGAGATAATTGGGGAAGAAACCTAATTATCTCCCAAGGTAGAGACCATCGCCATCTTAATTTACAGTAACAAAAAGACATTAAAATACATAACTACAGAAATACCGAATGCATATGGTTCGTGTAATGTATCCCCAGACAGCCTGGATCTGAGGGCATGTTTTCACCGAATAGCGCTCAGATCCGATGTATCTAGTCGAATCGCCATGGAGTCAAAGTCTTTCACCAGTCCTTCGGTATACGAATGACTCCATGGGATGGCTGTCGGGGTAAAAGTCCATACGACTGAATAAAACTCCCGAACGACCGACGTTCGCATGCCTTGTCGAAAAGGAAGGTAGGCAGCAGCTTTTCAGCGGTGTTCGGTAGTTTAAGTGTCCGTTTTTAGTTCCATACAGTTTGTACCGAACACCGCTCTGTGTTCGTATGTCCCAAAATGGCCGCTGCCTCGTGGTCGACATGCGAACGACGACCACCCGTACGAATGGAATGGAGAGGTGTCTGCGGTTAACCACAACGTTCTAATTGGGGCCAAGAGGTTAACCAGCAGCACACTCCTCTCCTGGGTGGCCGTTCGTTCGGTAGTTTCAATCGGCATTTTGCAAATACACGAACGGGGGTATAGGAACAGGCAATTCCGCGAACAAAGGGAAACAGACGAACCAACAATGCAGATGAATCTGTCACAGTTTGATTACAAGTATATGCTGCCGTTTAAGGAGATTGGTGAAGGGATCGATTTTCTCTAAAATTAACTTGGGGTATCGGCTTTCTTTGAACCGTTGTGGTATTGTGTCGTGGAAGTATGGAAGTAGAAGCATAGAAAGGTATGTCATAATTAGGGATAGCCATGGAGGGTTCATTGGTACTTCCCTAGTAGAATTACAATAAAACATCCATGGCATCCTAAAAGAATATATATATTGATCATATTTCCCAGTTTATTTCTACCTCCTTGTCACTTAATGTATTAACTGAATGAGTGTAACTAGAAACATCATAATTTTTTACCTGCCCCTTTAGCTTATTATTCAAAGGGAAATTATGTTCCCACTTTTGTGACCTAGGTTTAAGATCATTTATGCTTCCCTTAATAATCAAGCTACATTTACCATCCCTCATTACCATAAATTGATGCTTAAATTGATTATCATAATATATACATAGATAGCCTTTTATAGTCATTATCCACTGTTTCTGTCGCTCCTTGTGATCGTTGGATTCCAATACATATGTATGAGTCGTAATGGAACAGTCAGATCCGGTGGAATGAGTTTGTATGATTCTAGATGGAAAAATAAGGCCTAATTGGGCTCCGGAGTGAAATGAAGAATTGTCAATAACTTTGTTATGTTTCCAAAAACAAATGGGTTGTAAATTCCCCAACTGTTCATATTCATAATTGCAATCCAGATATACCGTTAGGGACAGAAAAAAAAAGAAAGCTCTGGTTACAATTTTCCCTTAATCCTTCATCGTAGCCATGTAATATCACAGAGTAGAATGGCAGATGTTTCGGGTTTTGATGGTTCAGGAATGTCAAGGCTTCTAGTTGTTCCCTTCTTTGGACACAGCTTTACTTGTGGTGCATGGATCCACAAATCTTGGGAGTCAGTCAGGACTGCAGTACGGGTTACAGCAATGACAGTGGTTGGGGGACCAAATGGAAAACCCCCCTTCTTTGGCCTATTGAGTTGTCGGATGGATACCACATCTCCAGGTTGGTAGGGATGAGTGGGTTCCTGTGAAGGCAGAGGAAACTGCGAAGAAACATTGCCATAGATACCATTCAATTTTATCAACAACATATTGTTCTTGAATTAACTCTAAATCACCAGGCATTATCACCAATGGTTCCCTGGCCCACGGTGTGAGGAATGGTCTTCCCATTAAAATCTCAAAAAGAGATAATTTTGTCACTTTGTGGGGAGTCATACATATCTCGGCCAAAATGGCTGGAAGATACTTATGCCAATGTACCCACGTACCTGCTGTTGCCTTCATAAGTTTCTCTTTAATCGTCTTATGCAATCTCTCCACTACCACTGAGCTCTGAGGGTGATATGGTATGTGAAACTTCCATGTTACCTGTAACCATTTAGCAAGTTTTTGTGTGATTTTACTTGCAAATGCAGGGCCATTTTTCAGAATTAATCTGTCAAGGACATGCATTTCGAGGAATGATTTTCACTACTGTTTTTGCATCTTTTCTATTTTTCACAAAGGCCTCAGGCCATCTACTAAATTGGTCCACTATGACCAATAAATATTGCTGTTTAGTCCTTGTTTTGGGAATATGTGTAAAATCGATCTGTAAATGTGTGAATGTACAAGTGATCATGTAATGGTTTCGGAGAGATATGTGGATTAGTGCGTATACACATCTTAACAGAGTACAAACCTAGTGTATAGAGAATGTGGAGGCAGTGAAGGGGTTAACCCTAAACGAAATGTAGTTGAAAAAAGGAAGAAAAGAAACACTGCCTAAAGGAGATAGATATAAGTATAAAAGATAAACTTTAATAGTGAACGAGATACAAAGTGGTTATTTTGCGCATCCACTCTCGGTACATCTGAGTATTTGCATACAGAGGCACCAAGAGATATTTGTGCAGAATTGTAAGATTTAAAAAGAGACAAACAACACTTAATTCAGTGAAGATGTCATCAAAAAATATATCAATTATATCTACTGTAACATTTGTCTCGTGTTACAGTTAGTATAGAGTATTCTGTTACAATGGATCAAGCTCTAACAGATATATATTGTCTGCAGCTGCAGTCTCTACAGAATATTCTTATACACAAATTAGAAAACGATTGTAGTTAGGATATATGTCCTTTACTTGAGAGAGCACCTACTCTGGTTAGTTACTAAAATATCACCCCAGTAATGTTATACCAAGAAAAAGTAGATAAGAAGAAATAGTTGCTGTGCCTTCAAGGGCACCTACCAGATAGGAGAGCTAACTGCAGGTAATAAAGAAAAGAAAAAGAGAGAGCTTTTATAATTAAAAGCAAATTAAATTTTTTGACAATAAGACACTGCAGAGACAGTAAGTTTTAAGAACGCCCTCTGCTGTATCTCTAAATAATTAATTGTCCTCTACTTTATATCTATTTAGATATGTTACTCTTCAGTTATAAATCTGGGTTGAAACTGACATACTTACCACTTTAACTTATATATGGTGAACCCAGCATAGATCTGCATAATAATACTCTATATATAGATATATATGTTTTACTATGTTGCAGTTGTATAAAATGGAAATAAAGCAATACATCTCCCACACTTTGTGCACTACACATGGACCAATTTCCATCGTACTTTTTTGTTCGTTTTCTAATTTGTGTATAAGAATATTCTGTAGAGACTGCAGCTGCAGACAATATATATCTGTTAGAGCTTGATCTAATTCAATTATATCTACTGTAACATTTGTACTCTATACTAACTGTAACACGAGACAAATGTTACAGTAGATATAATTGATATATTTTTTGACGACATCTTCACTGAATTAAGTGTTGTTTGTCTCTTTTTAAATCTTACAATTCTGCACAAATATCTCTTGGTGCCTCTGTATGCAAATACTCAGATGTACCGAGAGTGAATGCACAAAATAACCACTTTGTATCTCGTTCACTATTAAAGTTTATCTTTTATACTTATATCTATATCCTTTAGGCGGTGTTTCTTTTCTTCCTTCGTATACACATCTTACACATCTGAACAAACTCCTTTACATGTTGTTTCAGATTGAGAATATAAAAAGAGAATGTCAAAGATTGTATAGTATTGGCTATGCTTTTGTGTCCTGGTCCATGAGCCTGAGAGATAAAGATTGGAGAACTAGCTTCTGGTATCCCTATCTTCCCCTCTTTAGAGTAAAGATCGAACTGATCTTTCTCTAACCCTTGCAATATCCTTCTCTGTTGCGAATTCCTGCAGGTGTGTAAAAAGGGTTTCAGAAGGGCATTAGAATGTTATCATGAGATCTGGCGAGAGTTCCCTACGATAGATAGTATTTAAAGCTACTTCTTTAGCCATTTTATCAGCAAAAGCATTTCCTCTAGATATCGTGTCATTACTATTAGTATGAGACCTACAATGAATAATGGCTACCTCCAGCAGGAGTTGTATTGCATCAAGTAGTTCCTGTATTAGTTTAGTATGTGAAATTTCTTTCCATCTGCTCCTACAAACCCTCGTTGTTTCCAAATGACTCCAAAATCATGTGCAACCCCATAAGCATTACTTGAATCCGTATAAATATTTACACGTTTACCCTTAAATAAGTGACAGGCACGGGTAAGAGCAACCAGTTCAGCAGCTTGGGCTGATTGATGGGGTATAGAATGGGCTTCGAGAACAGTGTCAGGTAACTGGAAAACAGCATAACCAGTATGGTATTTGCCATCATTCGGGCGAGAACATGAACCATCAACAAATACATCCTCGACCTCACCATCTAAAGGAGAAGATGACAAATCTGGGCGGGGAGAAGTGATCAAATGGATTTGTGAAATACAATCGTGTGGCACTGGATACTGTTCCATAGAATGTTAAGTGGCGGTAAGTATGGCATGAAGGATAGACAAAGGGCCGGATGTAATGGGTGAATAAACAATAGAAAGATTCTGTGTGTTTAACAGAATTATTTTGTAAGGCATTGAGCAGTCATGTGTTGTGTAGTAAGATTTTTTTATTAAATGCATTACCTGATGTGAAGTATGAAGTATAGTGGGGTGGCCTAGGGTAACAGTTCTGGCCCCCTCTACAGCCATAGAGCATGCTGCCAAAGCCCAAAGACACGCCGGCATCCCCTGTACCGGTATAGGAACTACTTTGGAGAAAAATGCTATGGGACACATACCGCCTCCGTGCTCTTGTGCACAGACAGCAGCCATGGTTTTACAGTTGTCCCGTGAATAAAGATGGGAAGGTTTACAATAATCCACTCTTGGTTGACACCATTGCATTTTGTGTTTAGCCACTTTGTGTCCCTCTGCAGCCAGATGTCTAAGCAGACTGAGCGAATCTGCTGTACAAGTACCCACACTAGGACTACACAACAGTAGGTCGTCGACATACTGAAGGAAGACGGAACCATGGCTGGATGTCCATGTCTTAAGAGTATGTTGGAGCACCAGGGAATAAACAGCTGGTTAATCCACATAGCCTTGGGGTAGACGTATATTGACACCCTTCAAAAGTAAAAGCGAGAAGTAGTTGTGTCTTTTTCTCTATAGGTATAGAAAAAAAGCATTACTAAGTCAATTTTTATTTATGGCCCCCACTCACGGCTCAGGGGTGGGGGCCGGGGGTATGACAATAGGTCCCCCCCTTATTGTTATTTAGCACCCCCACCCACCGCTCACAGGTGGGGGCCAGGGGGGAAATATGTCCCCCCTTATTGGTATATAGGGCCCCCACCCTCCGCTCAGGGGTGGGGGCTGGGGGGCAATAGGTCCCCCAATTAGTTTAAAAGCCCCCATTTGCGCGTCGCGGGTGGGGGCTCAGGAGGGGGGGGTTTCAACAGAGGGCTGCCACAGGCTGCTCACTGTTTAATAGACATGCCTCTACTAGCTGGGTCACATGCTGCAATGGCCAATCACAGCCATGCCATTAGTAGGCATGACTGTGATGGCTTCTAAGGGCACACGCTTGTTGATTGGCTGCCCTGCAGCCTTTCAAAACACGTCATTAAATTGCCGAACACCGAACTCCAACCCGAACATACAGTGATATGTCCGTGCTCGGGGCCGGGGTCCAAAAAACTTAACTTTTCAGTTCGGGTTCGCTCAACTCTACTCCTAAGTATGAGAATGGAGTTTTGGAGGTGTTAGTTTAAGACTGCATTTGTAATCTATCACAAGCATAGGAACCTACATTATGTCTAACTGTGTTTCTTCCGAGGGACACAGAGTGTGACATTTATTTACTTATTTTGTTAATTTTGGATTGGTTATGCTTTAATTGCCTGTTAATGAATATGCTTTTTGTATTGGCATGTCTGCTGGGTATCTATTTTGTGTATCTGCTACGTCTGTTGTGTTCTGTTTTGTGAGATGACGTGTGTGATATTACAATGATTGCTGAGTGTGAGTTCTATGGTTTGTAATGAATGTTATGTGTTAATGTCCATTGTGTATGAGAATCTAGTGCACAAAATTTACTGGAGACTTTACTTATTAACTAGAGATGCAAGAACATTAATATGCAGATATGTAGATGTAAACATTTAGTAACATTAAAAAACATTAATTAGATATGAAGCATAGCAAAACCGTCTGCATGTATATACAAGTATTGCATAACTTGATGTATTTATGAGGCACAAATAAAACATTATACATTCAGCATGAGAAAAATCATGCATCATTTCTTTAGCAAATACATTTTTGTGTTAATTTCTGGCCTAAAGATCATTATATAACATTTTGGAAAAAATATACAAAATAGGAGTCCAGCACTTGATGCCAATATGGCAAAAACCTCTACAGCCACCATGTATTTCCCTTTGGTGCTCAGATAGGCTGGGATCATCGCAATCCAAACACTGCAGAACACCAGCATGCTGAAAGTGATGTTCTTGGCCTCATTAAAGGTGTCCGGTAATGTCCTGGCTAAAAAAGCTGCAATAAAACTAACAGCTGCCAGAATCCCCAGGTAACCCAGGACAGAGTAAAATGCAATAACTGAGCCTTCGTTACACTGAATGATGATCTTTCCTACATAAGAATAGGTGTCTGTCTCGCGAAATGGGGGAGAAATAGTCAACCAAATTATACTAATTATAACTTGAACAGAGAAGAAGAACAAGAATAGAGTTGTGGACAGTTTGACTCCAATCCACATTTTCCACACACTGCCAGGTTTGGTGGCTTTGAAAACAATATAAACCATGATTGTTTTGGCCAATACAGATGACATGGCTGCCGAGAAGATGATTGCAAAAGATATTTGGCGGAGAATGCAGGTTATATCCACAGGACGTCCAAGGAATAAAAACACACAGGGATAGCTCACCATGATGGAGACAAGGAGAATTACGCTTAGGATCCTGTTATTGGCTTTAGCAATTGGTGTTTCCCAGTATGAAATAAAAATGAATGCTATTAAAATGGTTAAAAAGCAAAACAGAACTGAGACTGATGCCAATATAATGGCCAACACACCTTCTGAGTAGGAGAGAAACTCCACTAATTTGGGAATGCATTGATCTTGCTTTATGTTTGGCCATTCATACTCTGTGCATTGCATGCAGTTTTCACTGTCTGTAACCAAGAAAACACAAATATATTTATGTTTCACACTGAAATGTAATTATTACTACATATATTTACATATATCCCAAAAGATCTTCGCTCTTACCCAACGGCAATCTAATGAATCTTGAATAAGACCCAGATCGATTTAAACGTCGATCAGACACTTATTTTATTTTGTGATGTGAATTAACACCAATTTATTTTTTTAAGACCTCTGAGTGCACCCCATCTTCATTTATTAATAAATATATATATAAAACAAACTCAGCCAAATCATCAATCTCCTTGTTAACACCATCCTTGTAACCATGGATGTGGAATCTCTGTACATGTATGTACGTAGTGGGGAATTGCGATGCAGCCTATAACAAAACTAACCCCATTCAACCCCCCAATAATGACAGACCACTTAGTATGGATGAACAGGCCACAGCATTTATTATCACAAACTAAATTACTGCATAACACATCCATAACTTTATTTATTAAATCTCTTCTTTTCTGTAACCAAAACGTTAGATATAAATAAGCATAAATTAACATATATACATATATAACTCCACACATAGTGTTATACAGTGACCCAACCGTCCTTGCCAATAAACATACAGTGGTTCCTAATCACCACTTCCTCTCACCTCCCCCCTCGTCATAAAATCATATCTTTCCAATGCCCGCCATCAGCCGACCTTATCCACGCTCGATGGGCACGACACCTCAGGCAACCTAATGTTAACCTTTTGAAGCAGGGGAGGTTGAGACCTTAAAAACTTGTTCATCTCATTCCATATACTTAAACGTAACCCCTCAAACTCAATTGGCAAGGACATACCCCCGGCTAGCTGTGACTAAATATACCAATAGGGTGGGCGGGAGGGAAGCTGTTTGCTGGCCCGAATCCCAAGTGGCACTGAGGTAAGACCTCCCCCACACTAGCTTACACAGAACATAATCCCACCCACACAGTCTTTCCCATCCAATCCCATGCATCTATCCCCACACTCCTACATGTGCCCTTGTCCGCTTAGCTGCGCTATCTCCCCAGGGCCTTGTATGTACGTAGTGGGGAATTGCGATGCAGCCTATAACAAAACTAACCCCATTCAACCCCCCAATAATGACAGACCACTTAGTATGGATGAACAGGCCACAGCATTTATTATCACAAACTAAATTACTGCATAACACATCCATAACTTTATTTATTAAATCTCTTCTTTTTCTGTAACCAAAACGTTAGACATAAATAAGCATAAATTAACATATATACATATATAACTCCACACATAGTGTTATACAGTGACCCAACCGTCCTTGCCAATAAACATACAGTGGTTCCTAATCACCACTTCCTCTCACCTCCCCCTCGTCATAAAATCATATCTTTCCAATGCCCGCCATCAGCCGACCTTATCCACGCTCGATGGGCACGACACCTCAGGCAACCTAATGTTAACCTTTTGAAGCAGGGGAGGTTGAGACCTTAAAAACTTGTTCATCTCATTCCATATACTTAAACCTAACCCCTCAAACTCAATTGGCAAGGACATACCCCCGCCACAACCACGCTGTTTTACACCTAAAATCAGCGGGGGACCCCACCACAACCAGCCATGGCCTGTTCCACCACTGCTAGCAGTGCCAGATCAACATAGAATAAGTACTGCACCAGGAAATTAAATGACCATTCGTGATCAATCCAATAACACAACATAGCGCAAAATATATACATACATATATACACATACATATACATAATGTTAGACTCCTTATGTAGCGTAAAACTCACAGGATTTAAAGCCGTCCCAGGCTCTATATAATGTGCAGGAGGGTGCCTAAAAAGGCTAAACGATATCCTTGAGGAGAGCAGCACAGGATACAAAGTGCAGACTCCAAAATTTATTGCACAAATAAACAATTAAAACAGGGACAATATGCAGTGAATAAATAGTAAAATATACTAGGCACAAAGCCTAAATAAAACACCGCAGAGGAAACAAGAAAAATACCAGATACAATCCTTTGATATAGCAGCAATCGCGTTTCATCTCCAGCCGGAGTCGTCCTCAGTGCACCATCAACATAGGCCTCATCCGACCTCCAGCAAGCGCACCCATCCCCTCGAGATAACTAGGCCACATCCGGCCACACCCCAAGGTGAACTGGAATCCCCCAAGCCAAAACAAGAAACCCACCTCGACCGATTCCCGACTGCAGCGCACCAGGGCACTCACATTGCTGAGCGCACTGCCAACAGGAACAGGTGATAGCCTCAGCCCGGCCCCCTGAGAACCTCTGGTAAGACACAGAATGTGTAACATGTCCAGATTCCAGAGCACCCTCAGATTGAAGAGCACCCCATACAACACCGAACCCATATCAATCCACCCAGAGATGACAAAAACCCCCTGGTACGTCCAAGAGGCGGGACAGCCGACCCCGTACGAGGAGGACCACACCCCCACCATGTAACTGGTGCCAGACCACTGAACCTCCCTTTCCGGGGGGGGGGCCGTAACCGCGGTGAGAAATCCATTCGGAGACCAGCAGGGTGAACCTGAAGGAACCACCACCCTGACTCCCAAAATTCGAGCCCCTGAACCATTGGCGCAGGCACGCCAAGCCTGGTGGCGACCGTAGCCATCCCAAACCAGAATAAATGCCCCTCGAACACCCCACCAACTTTCAGGCAATTGATGGAAACCTGCAGTGCCTCCGATCAGAACGGAATTTGTCAGGCCATCCTGGGAACCCGTTACACCGTGTTAGGAGCCCAACCATTACCCCGTGCATTCCATCTACCTTAGGAGAAAGCGGAAAAGCCAGGGCACGTCGACCCCTAAACATCCAAGAATCGCACAGATTCCATTGACGCATCAGCCACACCGCAACTGACTTACCCGTCCCAACGACAACAGCAGTCGAGCGGCGAAACCTGAAATAAGTCCGTCCACCAAAACACCCCACCACTTGCCGACAACTGTAACCTGAACAGGAAGCCGAGCCCTGCCAATCACAGAAATCACCCTAGCGCCCTCAACAGACGGTACCAAACATGTAGATGAGCAGTCCACTCCCGGAACCTACAAGGAAACGTCCCCATCCGTCCCGATCACTCCCACCATACTGGAGTGGGCCCCACGCCGCCTCATAGGGCGACCCACGGACCAGCTTCATCAGACCGTTGGACCAGGCGACCACCTCCACTGCCCTAACATCGACCCCGTGACACCTCCGACCGAAGTATGCCCAATAATGACCAAGACAGAGTGTCGGCCACCACATCGGGAATACCCGGACACAAAAACCTAAGACCAGCCGCCCTAGATTCAACAGCGCCAAGCCAGGCGCTGCCACCAGAGTAACCCTGGGGTAAAGTGTACTGTTACATGACAAGACAGCCCGCACTGCCCCACGATGGTCCCAAAGGAAAACCCCACCTACCTGTTCTAGAGCCGGGCACCCCATGCCTACCATGCCACCAGAAAGGGGAAGCTCCAAGAACCCCAAAGTCCGCCAGAAAACCGATCCTTGCCAGTGTAATGGGCAAGAGTCAGCACACCATTGAGAGCCCAAATTGGCCCAAAACCCCCAAAACCTACGGATATAGCCTGGGCCACGGAACTCCGAAACTCATAAAACTACCCCAGGAAAAACACTGTAGCAGCAGAGTGCGGACATGCTGCACCGACGGCCCTACGCATAAATGACATCGGGAGCAACCTACATGAAGGCACAGAACCACCCAATCCTGACCGTCGGGAACACAACCTGGAAACAATAAACCCGACGGGCGTACCGGCAGCAGCCGTAAAACTGATTCCACAGCCGCCTTTGTCAGCAAGGCCCTGCAACCCCACCCACGCAGCCCGCTGCGCCGAGCCATCATCCCAAACCTAGCCCCTGGAAGGAAACGACAACTGAGCAAATAAGTAATCTGGAGATACTAACCCTGCTCCTCCTTCTTGGGCACCACAGCGAACTCCAGGGGTACCCTAAACGACTGGGAAGTAAACTTATAAGCGTGCTTGGTAAACTGGACCCACATCACCCGATGGAGCTCCCACATAAACTGAGGGTCCCCATCCCGACCGATTGCAGAGAGGAAGGAAAAACACGCTATGCTGAGGGGCTAGGTGAGCCCCAAAGAAAACCAGCGGCAAAACCCATCCGGCCCCAGGCCAAGAAGGGTCGCACTGCCAACCGTTGATGAAAGTGCAAAACGTACCTCCACCAACCCAGCTTATCCCAGGGACGATACGTGTCCCGAGAGTGTCCTGACCGCTGAACCACGCAGCGCCGACTCGGGGAGCCCTGTCCGATATGTGCCCTGGATATGTGCTCCCCACGACCATCCCTGAGCCCCTAATGTCCCCCTTAGTCAAGGGACCCCCGTGGCAGGAGGGAACAGCTTTCGATACAAAACCCCATTCTCCATCCGCTCCCTAGCGTTACGCGCAAGCCAAGCGGGCCACATGAGCTCAGCAGCCCAGAGTCACGTGAACCTGGGAGGCATCGCCGGCGCTATCAGCTGCGCCAGACGCTGCGGGAAAGCATACCTAAATGTATAATACATACAAAAAAATGAAAGGGTGTACCCAAATTTTATTTTATTGTGGATTCCCCATATATATATATACAGACACAGTTTTTTTATTTTTTTTAAATTTTTTTTTTTTATTCTTTTATATATTGTCCCCCTTGTACTTGACATTGGATTTTTTTTTTTTTTTTTTTTTTTTTTTTTTTTTTTTTTTTTTTTTTTTTTTTTTTTTTTTTTTTTTTTTTTTTTAAATTGAATTCTACCCCTGCACTTGACGTAGGATTCTTTATTTTTTTATTTTTTTTATTAGTCCAATAGGTAATTTACCTTGTATTTCTGTCCTGTAATTTTTTTCCCCCTGTCTGCATCAATTTTTTTTTTTTTTTAGGAAGAAAGGAAGAAAGAACGTACGCACGCGAAGCGCTAAAAGTAGGGAAATGTACTCACCGGACGCAGCCTGGCG